ACCCCACAAACAGATGCCCTATCCCCAGGCTGCCAGTCCCTCTCTTTTGCTCCACTTTAGCTTAAACCTGTGCCCTGTCTCCCTCCTTTTTTAAGTCCCATTCACTCATTCCATGTAAATTTGCTTGAATTAATTCGTTTGCCTACCAATTTTCTTCTCTTTCAACGACAAAGGCAAACTACTCTCAATTCCAAGTTGGAGTCAATGATATGAATCTCAAACACCATCTGCTCAGTTGCACTCCATGTGTGTGTACTTTGTTATAAATATTTTATTATTGTTTTTTTTGTTTAACATGTTTCTGATTTCTTGTTGAAACAAATTAGCAAAAACATGTCTATTTATTCTTACAGCTAAAATGAGATGTTTTTTTCTTCTTTGCTCGGGCTAACTTTTCCCTGTTCTGCATGCAGCATACTAACAGGGCTGCTCTCATTTATGGTAAAGTTCATTCTACTAATGCAGCTTATAATGACTCCTGGTGTTCCCATTTCATCTGCTTATGTATTTTCAGATCATGCTTTATTTACTTTGTGCTTTTCCTTTTATGAAAATGTTATTTCTTTTGCATGTGTCTGGACAATTGAGTTCTATCTGTCTCTGTGCACGGAAGCCCTGGTAGAGGTTGAGGACAATCTGAAGTCATCCCATCACATTAAAGATCATTTGAGCTATAGCATAAAAGCTACCTCTGAGTGGTATAGGAGAAAAGGAGGGAGTCTGGTAGTTGGTGAAGTTTCCCCATACTTTCCCTTTGTGGCTCTACGTCTGCCTACCAAGAAAAGTATTCTAAACTTCCATGTTCTATCACCTCTATGATGATGTCCTCTGCCAGTTTATATGATCTTCTCCCTCAAATTATCTAATATTTCCATCTAGCCTTACTGTCCAAAAAATGCACAAAGGGACTGTTCTCCAAACTTCTCTATGCTTCTTGTCTATCTTTTGACCCTTCCATCTGATGGTTGCTTTACTCAGACCAGCTGGCATGAACACCAAAAATATTCAGAAACATGAACCAATTCTCCGATTTCTATCTGCAGTTATGAATAGGTGGTTTACTGATAAGTTGATTGCTTGCTCAGATAACCTTTTCTTCATTTGTTGAATCATTTCTTTTTGCAAAGTATGTTGGTGTTTGAACATGCATTGCATAATACAGTTGCTGTCTCGCGTTCTAACTATCTATTACTTGCAGATGGACAATAGTCCTACCACAGGCAGTGTATCAACAACAGTTGGTGAGAAGGAGAAGCTTGCAAAGGCATCCTTGGCTTTTAATTGTAAAAAGTGAGTTGACTGCGAGTTCCTTGCTGTTGTGTTGTATTTGTATAATTGCCTCGAGCTTTTGTCTCCACTGTTCAAGATCTCCTGCATGAGAGATGGATATGCTATTTTACTGTGTGTATTTTCCTTTATTACATTTTTATTAGGTAGGAGGGTAACTTACTCTCTATTTTTTTTTTATGATAGCCCAACCTTTAGGAAATTGTTTCCCGAGTATGTGGAGAAGTATGAACAGCAGCAGCTTCCGTCGCAGCCTGTTCCAGAGCAGGTATCATCCATGCCAGCTGGAGCAGAAAAGTCTAGACCCTTGTTGGAAGAGCATGACAATTCCACGAAGGATGAAGTGAACAGAGTGAAGCCTCTAAAAGACGTCAAAAACCAACAGAGGAAATCCGTCCCAACTTGGTTGTTGCTGTTGCTAGTTTCAATTTTTGGTGTTGTAATGGCCCTGCCTCTGCTTCAGCTTTGATGACTGGAATCTTGTTTTGTGCACTACGGTGAAGAACAGACCACCCCCATATCACATGGATACGTAGTCATCCCCGCTCCTGGTTCCTGTTATTTCACCAAATATTTTAGGTTTTTGATTTACCTAGGGGGAATGTATAGGCATGACTCTTAAGTGGAGATCTAACTAATCTCTTAATCTAGCTAATGGGCTTCTCTTTCCTATTGTGCACGTCAGTGGAAAGATAACATAATGTGCTTTTATTGTGAAGGGCTCAGAGTTGCAGGAGCTAATCCTTTCCTTCTGCTTTGTCTGTTTATAGTTAGCAAATGTGGGTTTATTCTTCTTCGTTAGTCTTTTTCCTATTTTTTTCAGGGAGGGGATGAGGTATATATAATATATAGACAGACATGTGTAGTTATAGGCTTGACAAGTGAAGTTGAAAGGTCTAGTAAAAGTATAAAGTCTATCGTTCTTTCTGGTAAAATTATATCTAGTAAGAAAATGTGGCATAAAAAGGCAACCTGTCATTACTAATGCTTTCCGTGGTGTTGCTGTTCACGTGTTTGATGAGCTATTCCGTATAGCTGACTAAACCAACTATTTCTCACTCGTGCCTGGTTTATACTTGTTCACTAAAATCTGAGGTTTTTCTTTATGGGAAACGGAGACTTATCAATCAATCAACTAAATTTGAATGGTAGATCAATGAAAAGAATAATCAATTTTATGTAAAGAGAGTTGAAAATCCAATATAGTCTAAGCCATGCTTGAAAGTTGAAACCCATGACTGCTGGCATGATGATGTTAACCCCTCTTTTTCACGTTGCCTTGTCGTCCACTAGGTAATAATAAAACCTTTCGCCTAAAACTCCACTCCAAAAATTGCGCCGTAAAATTTCACATCTTAATACAATCCATTTTATATTTATTACTTACCTACTCTATAGTTTATACAGTGGTGAAATCGTACGTTAACAAAAAGGTTGCCTTTATTCCCTGCTTTAATTACTCTCTGAGATATGATTACGTCTCTCTCACTCTTGTTACCAACATTAATTTCTTCATGAATTCAAATCCTTCACCTCACTCCAGAAAAACTCAAGAGTCAACTGCTACAGCACTTTGTTTTGAAGAAACTCTTTTCCTTAGGTATGAAATTGTAAAAAAGAAAAAAAAATCCATACTCATCGATTTTTCTTTTATAAATTACTGAGTGTTATTTAGGTCTCTGTAATGATGGTGACAGTGTGATCCATTTCAACCAATAAAAACAGTTGCTTATGCTGATCCTTCCTTTCATTGTTAAGCATTGGTAAATATAGCTTTCCTTAACTAATCCAATTTATCCAACCACCAGTTTTTTCATACATAACTCTCATGGGATATAGAAAAGCCTTAGCTGGCCTTTCCATCTTTATTTAAAAAAAGTACCTTTTCTCATTTGGAATCTACTATTATTAGGGGAGCCCTCATACTTTCTGCAATGAACAAAATATATAGGCATGATTTGTAAGACTTGATGAAAATTTTCACTTCACATGGCTCAAACTTGAACCTGCATTTTGAAATTCCAGGGAGCAAAGTATGAACAAGTTTCCCATATACCCAAAATATGAAGGTGGGGACTATTGTGGCTACGAGTTTGATCCTCACACAGACTTTACGGATGTAAGTCAATTGTTTTTTTTTTGCCTTATATCTTCAACTCATATAAAGTTTTTATCTTTTATTCAGTGGTGGAGGCATAGTTTCCAATAAGTGATTCAACATTTTTTTACTTTATACACCCTAAAAAGAAAAGGAATTAACCTTGGTATATACAATGTACCTGTCTGCCGTGCTTTGTTTACAACATCACTACAGTTGTGTATTATTATGTATTTATATGATAGTATAGGTGACTTTTAGAGATTTGAATATGTTGTTACTGTAGTTAGCTTATTCTCTTTGTGTATTAATATCATTGTATTCTTTGAGTAATGAGATAAGTTACTCCCCACTTTGTCTATACATGATATCAGAGTCATATCTCTATCCCCATTTTGATTTCCGATCCATGGTCCAGTTGGGTTGAGTCAGGCTCAAGTGGGTATTAAATGTTGAACCTTTAATTTTTTGAAAGTGCTGTAGATTTAGTGGTAAGACACTCAATAGTTTATATTCTGAATCCGTTTCTCATTACCAGCTAGATGACATTTGATGATTTATGACTTGCGCATTTTACAGTTCTTGTCAGAAGCGAGAAAGCATGTATCTGAAGGGAAATTCAGTGCTACACCTCCACGTTCTGTGGAACTGAGAAACAACAATTTTGGAAATGATGTTAAGAAAACTTGCAAGAAGTCATGGAAAAGCTCTCTGTTTTCATGGCTGAGGACTGATAAGAAGAAGAATGAGGGGAGCAGAGAAACTTCAAAAGGCTCTACCATTAACAAGCTGAAGCGTGGATGTGTCTCTGGTCCATTGCCGGGGATCAGCGGGCCAGGTACTATAGCTGGAAGGCCCAATAAGCCTTTGTCTGGGCCCTTAACATATCTGTTCAGTCCAATGAACAGAGTGGACAATGAAATACCTTATCTCTGTCTTCACAAGGTTAAGAATAGTACTCCTGATGTTCAATCTTATGGACCTGTTTATCTGGTAACTTAAGATTGCAAAAGGGTAGGTTTAATTTAGCAGAGACTACATGTATGTGTCATGAATCTATGTGTTCGGTGAATGCAAACAAATATCATATGCAAAAAAGAATTTGCATTTGTTGCAAGGAACAGGTTCTTTTTTTTTCATTATCACATGCTAGTCTAGGAATAGGTTCTGAATTCACCCATGATTTTGGAGTTTAGAATTTGAATAGCATCAACATCAACATTTTGTTTGACGAATTTCAGGAAAATCAGACACACTCATAATGCTTCATTTTTACTGCAGCTATATCATAAACAACATGTTTACTGCAAACTACTCTCAAATTTCAACCAACTATTGTCCAAACGCCTGCATGATATTTCGAGTAAGCTGTAATATAGATTTACAATGAATTGTAGAAGCCATACAACAAATGAACACTCACATTAATAACAAAAAAATTCCTAATACTCTCCTGTAAGAGAAGATAGATTCCCCTCAATTCTCAAACAGAGAAGCCCCTTGGCCCTAGCAATTTGTTTTACACATATACAATACATAGACATCTAAAGATTGCACACAACTTCTCATCTGCATCAAGAATCAATCAATTAACTTTAACCTAGTAAATTATATAGTTCCTAAGATTCCACTCCTCTCCAAATTCAAGAGGTGTAACAATCTCTAGCTCTGTCCCCTGCTTCCTTGTTCTACATCTACATTTCTGGGACTGCAAGGATTCAAACTGCTAAAAAGCCTCGTTAAAGATCTCAATCGTGTCGGTGTTGGTGTTTTCTGTTCTTTTTCTGCCTCTTCAGTATTCTGTCTTGGAATATCAATCATCAAAACCCCATCTGGCCTACTAGTACTTGTGGATGCTGATGATGTAGTAGTTTCATCTCCCCAGAACAGAACATTAGTTGGTAAATTTCGTGTCTCTGTGGAAGCTACTGAGCCTTCTTCTACTGGTTCCCTAATGGCCCCGGAATTTGATTCTACAATGGTGGATTTCGTAGAGGACATTTCTGAAACAGGGTTTCGGCATAAAGGACAAGTGGAATGAGATTGAAACCACATATCAATGCAATCGACATGAAACCCATGATTGCATTTAGGCAAAAGTCTCGCCTTTTCACCATCAGAAACGTCAGTAAGACAAACGGAGCATTCCAATCCATCTTTGAAATCCTTGGTATTAAATGGAATTACGGGTATGGTTTTAAGGATGGAAGGGTCAAGGCCTCTCCGGAGTGCATTCACTTCTTGATAACCGCCAGCAAAGTCGAACCGGCGACGGCGGCGACGCCTTGTGCCGTCGTTCGGGTTGGCGTCCTCTCTCGTGAAAAATTTGGCGTATATGTGAAGGAAAAATACCAAGACCACCGCAAAGAAGAGAAATACGACGACAGCCATCATGATCTTAGCCGTGATCGCAATCATACCTGAATCACCTAATTTACCACTTCCCATTTTCAGTTTCTTTCTTTAAGAAAAAACAGAGGCTAGGATAACTAGTGAGAGTGAAATCTAGAGCAAAATTATGAAGTTTCAAATTGGAGAGTGGATCGAATAGATGAAACCCATTCAGCTAAGGAATTGTGGAGTATGATGTGAAAAGTGGGAAGATTTGGAAAGAGGATTTAAAGGGGAAAAAATGCAACTCTAGTTGAGTCAAATTAGAAGGTGAATGGGGGGAGTTTAAAAGTAGAAAAAGCAAATAAGAAGATGAAAATGGAGTCTAAGCTTGACTGCGACAGTGGAGGGAGGGAAAAGAAGAGTCACCAAAAGACTCCCAACATGGCGGTATAGGGAGAAGAGTTTCAAATAAACAATTCTGGCCGCCTTCTTAACTTGTGGGGAAGTTTCTCATTTGACCATTTGTTAACTTCCTTGACTTCAATGGAATTTGAACATTATTCAACAATTTAAAATTTATAATAATTTCAAACGGAGGAAACTGCTTAGTGAATATAAGTGCACCTCTAATTATTTCACAATAATAATTAAATTTATGAATTACAAGAACTCATGGATAAAACTTTGAATCCGTCATTGGTCACACATTCAAATTCTCCCTGCTCCTCATATTCCTCATCAACATTAACACATGATCCAGCCCATTTATGCTAATAATAGTTAGCCCAATTAATAATATGTTCAAATAAAAACACTTAAACCATTTTTTTTCCAAATTTTAATTTTAATAAGTTTACTTTACTTATTAATCATCAAAATATCACATGAATCAACAACACCGTGTTTTATAACTTATGTGATCGGAAAGTCAAATGTATTTTTGCTAAGAGTGTTTAAAAGAGACTGATAAACCACAAATTATATCAAATCGTAGAAATAAAAATCAGAAAAGCCAACTATTGTTGGTCTGGTTCATAAATCTTACAAACTAACATTATTGGTTTTGATAAATAAAAGAAATTAATCTAAATCACCTATGTCGGCCAAACTAAGTAATAGCAAAAAAAAATTTCATTAGTTAAAAACTTAAAGCGTTTTTGAAACTTTGATCAAGCATAAATTATTAACAAAAAAGATTTTCAAATTAATTAAACTATTATTTTTAAAGAATATTTTTTTTAGAAAAGCACTTTTGACAAAAAAAAACACTTCCTATATATATATATTCAAAGTCTTGACCAATGCTCATCTTTATCAAGATTCAAACAGCTTATGTTAATATTCGTTGTTTTCGGTCTTCTCCTACATCATACAGGCAACATTTACCAACATTATTACTCAAAACGTAATCAGTAAGTAAGACCAAACCTTTGGTAAAACTGTACATTTTCATAAGAAATTTTCTATACAGAGATTAATTCATTTCTTGTAAAAAAAATAAGAATAATGATTGTCTGATATCTCCTGTTGCTAATTTGGTTAGATGAGTACATATTTGTAAGGGAAAGTATGACCTCACAACGAACTAAGCGGAGAAACCAATTCCAAAAGTTATCAACGAAGCAATTTTTGGTAATGTTCGTAGGCACAGGAATTGTGCAAAGAGGGCAAATTTAGCCAAGAATCAATGCAATGAGTATGAAATCCATGCATGCCAACATATATATGGTTAGCACCCGCTGCTTGACTGCACCTTTGTATGCAGTTAGTATATATAGGAAATGCTGCTCTCACTACTGACTACTGCATGCTTGATGATCATGTGCTTGGAGTTGGAGAAACCATTAATTAATTTGTTTTTCGATCGTTTTATTAATATGTGATGATCTACATGTGTTATATTTATTTATAGTGCATGGTTTGAGGTTTTTTGTTTACAAAGGTTGTTGATTGACTAGTCCAACATTATGGATTACTATGATTTTGCTTTTGGCAAGTATATATTGTAAATGAGAAAGGAGCTGAATATTTCGTGTTAGAATTGCGACATGAACAGCAGGCACGAAACAACATGCTGACTGAATGGAAAGGTAAACAAAACATGGCAAGTCAGGTATAACATTCTGGTCAAACACAAGAAAAATACAAAACACAAAATATATAGTTGCGGAATGCACTCTAGCTACCATAATATATGTTGCAAAATATTCAATTACCTACAATACAATATTTGAAAACTAAACTATATTCAAGATGTGATCTACTAATTAATGAAATTCACATAATATTTTATACTTCTAATTTTAATAAAAAAAAAATAATTTTTATAAAAGAATTTGCATTTCAACCATAAAAAATAAAAATATATATATTAGGTGATCATCCTATTTATCTAAAACTTGGTGTAAGTTATTCGTAATTTGTACTAAATATCACGTACCTATTATTATAATAATGGAGGCGGTCAAGCTAATCCCCCGATTTTTTTTTTTTTATCAAATTTCAAAAATCTCATCAAATTTATTTTTTTAAAGATATAACTGTACATAATTAATGAGCTTTCATATGAAATTTTAATTTCCTGTAAAATAAAATAAAATAAAACTAGTGAGAAATTAAGCAATTACAGTGTCGTGTTGTGTTGCTAATTATTTGTTTAGCTCAGGCATTCCATATTTGTAAGGGAAGCAATGACCTCAGAGCTAAGCGGATCAAGAAACCAATTCCAAATGTTATCCACAGCAGATATCAACGACGAAACGAAGCGATTTTTGGTACATGATCTCATAGAAATGTTAGCAGGCACTGGAATTCTGCAGAGAGGGCAAATTGAATTGATGTTTAGCCAAGAATCAATGCAATGAGTATGAAATTCATGTCCACATATGGTAAGCACTCGCCGGGATTCAGCCAAAGAAATATCGGCAAGGCATATTATACATGTCAAGTGATCATCTACACAATTGTTATCTTGTTTTTGTGTACTAATGCTATATTTAGAGGCGATTACAATCGACAACAATGCATCTTTGTGTGCAGTTATTATGGACATTATAGGAAATGCTGCAATCACTGCTACGGCTATCATCTCACTACTGCATGATGATGTGCTTGGAGAAACCACTTGTGCCATTAATTAATTTGTTTTTCGTTTGATGTCTTCCCTGTTTTCCCCTGCATGTGTTATATTTATAGTGTATGGTTTGAGGTTTTTTGTTTACATGGTTGTTGAATATAATTTAATTGACTCTAAACAGCAGCATTATCAATAAGGATTTTGGTTTTGACTTTTGACTACTGTCCTAAACGAATTAAGAAGGAAGAGCTGAATCACGGCTTATATTGTGGAATTCAAAATGAAATGGTATGAGTTTGAAGTTTTGATCAAAAGCAGCAGGCGTGCTGTGCAGGGCACGAAGTTGTGCTGAATGAAAAGGTAAACAACATTATGGTCAAATAATTTACATGAAAAATGGGAGCCAAAAAATACACAAAGACAAAATAGTACTCAGTAGTTACGTTGCAAAAATTGCAGCTGCTGCTACTATTAAGCTTAGCCGTGTACAGATAAGTTTTAAGCTTATTGTCAAACAAGCGCCATTCTAGAGGCGCTTGACCAAAAGTTGATCAACATCATTTTTAAAAAAATACAGTAATGTCCAAATCAATAGCGTGTTATAGTTAACTGCTACTGTTTAATTATATAATTAATGGTTACATATTTGGAAATTGAGGTTATATTATCTACTCCCTCTGTCCCTAATTATTTGTCCACTTTTCCTTTTTTAGTTGATCCTAATTATTTTGTCCATTTGAAAAAATATACTATATACTAGGTATCATTCTATTTGCCTAAAAATCTTGGTGAATGAAGTTATTCATAATTTATATTAATGATAAATATAAGTATCCGTTAAAATAACAAAGGAACAAAC